CTCCCGCATAAGATCCCAGATACTTCCCCGGAAAACCAGAACAAAAAATTATGTCCAGGACGATGAATTTTTGACAAAAAATACAAACACCAAAAAATCGAATTACTCACTTTTTCTCAAGGTACATCGCAATACGCTTGTGCTCTTACAAACAAAACTGCTTATTGTTTAAATAAAAATATAAAAATACAAAAAACCGGGGTGCGTTATATAAACACAGTACATTTTGAAATACAGGAGACCGTACCTATTAACTTTAAGATACACTCCCAACGTGTTTTATTAGTTGTGCAGTTCCAAATTCTATCAATATATTATTATTTCCTCATCCGAGATAAGTTATCTGTGTGTTATATTATTGTAAATACAAACGTGACGGAGAAGAAAAAAAAAGACAATTCATCCAGGACCGCTGGTACTGGGCCCCAAGGGAGCCAAACAAACCTTGTCGCCTCACTATTCAGACCTCATGAACAGAGGAATGACCACCTTAGATGGATTCTTTCAAAGTGTCTCTTCAATCAATAACCGAGACATGCCCGATATGTGCAGCGTGAAAGAGTGTGGTTCAATCGTTTATTTCTACTTCCTGTCCTAGGTTTGATGAAAGCCAATCCCGTTCTTACCAATGGGAAGAGGGGATACGGAGGAACAACATTTTTTTTCTTTGCTGGGAAAGAAAATTAATTGGTCTACCGAGTTCAGCTGAAGTTTATAACAGGCCTCCACAGCCTGGGGAAAGGGTAGTGCTTGATCCTAGAGTCGGACGCGCTTTTTAGCTGAACATTGTTCCTGTCTTGTGTGCCTATATTTCACGGCAACTTTGGCAAAGGGGAAAACCCTGCACGAAACACAAACAGGGAGCAACGGGGCGTTACAAGACATCAGGTCAAATTTAAAAAATCCTTGTCAGTCCGCCGTGGTTTTAATAAATCAGCCAGTAGTTGCCCGTCACAGGGCTGACACACTTGTGAGATGATGATAGCTGATGATTCATCCGGGGTAGGTCAGTTATTTGGCTGTCGCTTCTATGTGTCCTCGATGGTAAATTCTGACCGTGAGTAGAACAAAAGCAGAAAAGATGGATCCGTAAACAGGGGTTCTGATAAGTTTTCTTGCTGGTGCAAAGCATCAGGACTTTTAAATGTACCACACTGCCTGTTCAGACACTGACTTTGGTTATAATACTTCCATCTCGTTGGTTATAAAACCACAACAGAGGACAAATATATGTATGTATTTTTATTGTTATAAACCAAATTAAAAGCATTCAGTATAAGTCTGGAGAAGTTGGTGTCAGTTCTCTCAGCACTATGCCCCCTGACCTTCCTCTTCTGTCTGCTCAGGGGCGTGTTTTTCGAGCGGGTCTGCGAGTGTCATCAGTTCCTTTATCTTCAGATAAGTCTCACACTCCGGTGAGAAGCGGTTTCTCTGTAAGAAAGATCAGAAATCATCATCATGTTCCTCTGCAACTGTTAATTAACACTGTAGATTTAAGGTTGATGTATTTATGGGGTTACTGATACAGAGGTAGCATAAACTAAAATCTTAACTAATATCATTGAAATAATGGTAGTTAAACATTGTAAAATATTTTATTTTACTATACTGTACTATAAATGAATAAAGAAAATAACAAATAAACATATTCTGATGTAATTAACTTTAATAGATGAAAGTTAAAAGTAGCTCATTCAAAATGTACTTGAAACAGTGTTGCCACATTCCCATTGAGTGAGTACAATGTTAGCAACAGGAGTGATGGCCAAAGCTGTTTAAAACAAGGCCCAACTTGTAGGAAACCAGAATTATCATGCAGAAATACTGACTTCCAAAATGCGAAGTCAATTAAAAGTACACAAGTGGCTTGAGTCCTCTGTAAGTGAAACATACCTGCAGACAGAGACGCAGCAGGCCTCCTCCCTCACCCTGCATCTCTAGTGATGTCAGGAACAGAGGCAGAGACTTCTCTGTAATCCTGTTTCCTACACACACACACACACACACACACACAACATTACCACTTTATTGAAATCTTCAATGGTCCTTATGGGATTTCATTTTTTATTTTGTGCAGGGGAAATAGCTGCTAATGAGCGAGCTAATTGTTGTTGCGAAACAAACAGATACATAAATACTTATTTTAATAATCTAATGTCACCTATGAATAATAAACCTCCCATTTTTTCATTCTTATGTCTTTTTTTTATGAACAAATTATAATACAAAAGGTCAAATTATTATATGTAGCACTTAAACTGAATACAAGGAGCTTTTAACTGGTTATTAATGAGTCTCAATCTAATACTGATGCCTCTGTAGGACCTATATAAAGCAAACAAGACCATCAGTGAGAGGATTAGCTATTTCCATATAGTTAATGCCTGCCACCTGGTCGGATTCAGTTGGATTCCCCTTGAAATCAATTGAACGAGGCAGAGGAAACACTACCACTTTAGTCCACAGGCACCACCAGAATCAACACAAAATAAAAGTAAAAACAAAAATTTTATATAAAGTGACCTAAGAACAACACCATCTCTGCTAAAGGGTCTTATATAGGATATTTGTGCACACTCATTCTGAAATCACAACAAAACTAATGTTCAACATTAACGGCAGTTGAAAATCTTCCTGTTATGAAACTTAACTGTAGTTGTCCTGGAAATACTTTGATGTGAAAGGTTTCCAAATTTAGATCTTTCTGTGAAGCTGAGATGAACACAACACAGTTACTGACCTGCCAAGTTTAGGGAGGTCAAAGTCCTGTTTCCGGGCAGAATAAGCTCACCGTCCCTGTGCTGCACCGACTGGTCCAGCAGGGGGTTCACTATCTCCACCACCTCGACCTGCCGATGGAGAGAGAGAGAGAGGAGTAAACAAGTGCCTGACAGCTTGTGTTCAAATCATATTTATCATCGAGAACAAAAAGAAATGCATCAAACAAACCTCATTCAGAGCAGAGCTTAATTTATCCTGTAGGGGGGAAATAAATAAATAAAAAGCAAATTTACTGTACTGTGTATGTTTACAGCCGTATGGTACACAGATTCAGAAAGCATGTCTCTGGTACCTCCTGTGCAGACAGTTTCTCTTTGCTCCCCAGCTTGCCACCTTTATTTTGAAGCCCTTTTATATCTGCAGCTAGGAGACATTTAAAGAGATAACAATGAAAAGATAAACCCTGGCGGTGTCAGAGGATAATGGAGCAAGTGTTTATCTGTAACAGAAGCAATTACATTTCTTGTTAGACTTTGGGTTCTCTTTTTGGGCAGCTGGTTTCTCATCTTTTTTCGACGCTTCCTGTAAGTTAAAAGATCGGAAGATTACTTGTCACAAGATTTATAAACCGTAGATGCCACTGAAGTTACACCATAGTTTAACTTTTGTCCATCTCACGCTGTTTTTTTTGTGTTCTTATTCAGTACGTTACCTTTTTTTTCCCTTTGTTCTCCCCTTTGCTCAGTGATGTGCTGCTGGGTACTGAAGGGAGCTGGCCAGCAGGAGACAGTTCAGGATCGACCTGAAAAGATGACTACAAAAATAAAGCGAGAAAATGTGTCTATTAGAATGTCTCATATGTTTCCCTGCATCCCTCTACTCCTGATAACCAGGTTTGCAGAGTAATGTCAGCCTTCTGGTTGGAATCAAACCCAGGCCACTGCGATAAGGACTAAGCCTACACGGTGAGCTCCCCTGTGCCCCAGGGATTCATTTTTACGTTAGGAGGGTATTAATGTTAGAAATTGCAGCACTTACAGACTGCGTTCTTTCCAGAAGCAGCTTCCTCCTCTCCACAACTTCTTCTTGAGTTAGAGCAAACTCACCAAGTATCTGAAAATGGACGTGGTTAAGGGGCGGAGGCTTATTAAATTACATAATATAATGCATTAAGCAGAATATAATTTAAAACAACTTAACCACTGATTTAAATGCATTATCTCCCAAGTTAAAGTCTTTAATGTAAATGGATACCGCAGCCAGATGAGCAGCTCCTACGTCTCCAATCTGATTGTTGAACAGCGAGAGAAAGAGCAAAGCACGATTCAGCCGCAGACCCTGAGAGACAAAACAGGATGAAGACAACACCTCAGTGGTCGTGAGGGGAACATATAGGGGGAATGTGGAGTCAGCTCTGGGTTATACCTGCGCAATATGCATAGCACCCGCATCGCCAATAGAGTTGAATGCCAGGTTGAGTGATAAGAGGTTCTTGTTGGTAGATCTGGCTGTTGAGAGAGCCGAGCCAATTAAACGAGCGCCCTCGTCTCCTATCCGGTTATTTCGCAGGGACAAGTGAGTGAGGCTGGACCAAAGGAAACACACAACATAAATCTGAAAGTTTGTGCTTCTATTTGTATGTGAATGCACATACACATACATGAAGGTTTATTTAAGGAAGTTTTTTTGTACTTCTATGTGAGATATGTGACTGCTCGGTGACTCACGTGCTGTCTTCTGAGAGAAGACAGTGGTAGCTCTGTTCTGGAAGAGGGTTGCCCTCCAATATCACTGTACTAAAATAAAACAGGAGGGGAGGGATCATTAACCCTCTGTGTTTGACTGATGATGTTCAACAAGCTGTGGTATAGTTTTGTCTGCAACATTTTCAGACTCAGACTCAAATTTAGTTTCCCATCCTTCAATCCAAATTGAATTAGACCCACTGTGACGCAGGGAGCTACAAAACAAAGTGTGAGTGACAGTAGGAATCCAGTCACCTGAGGTTGGAGCACAGTGATACTGCGTTCATGAAGGAGATTACCATTTGATCTGTCAGTCCCGCCTGCCAAAACCTGCAACACAGTGGACAAGATTACACAAACAAACAAGAACAAAACAGTGACAGCTGTAACCGTGTTCCCTGTAACAGGAGTGCACTCTCCCCACCAGCTCATTACTCACTGAAGACTCTGTAGCTTACTCAGGGAGAGAAGCATCTTCTGCAGCACTCTGGCAATCTGCTCATCTACCTTCCATCCTGTGTATTTTTAAAAAAAGAAAATAAATTATGTTTTCTCCAACATCCAAATATTAAACCAGAAACAAATGTGGGTGTAAATATTTCTCTGTGGTGTTTTGTTCTTACCAGAAACCTTCAGCTTATTGGCGCTGAGGGGGTCTTCATTCTCCAGCTCCACTTGGAGGCATGGCTTAGACCAGAAAGGTGCAGCATTTATCTGTGACTGGCTGTCCTCTGAAGGAACAATTATGATCACTATAAGTGAACTGACAATTACTGTACATTCAGATTCACATATACTGATCTGTAGTATACAGTAAAGTGTATTTCTAGTGTATCGAATGTTCCTAGGTCTTCAGATTTTGTTGTTTTGATGTGTTTTGAATGTTCAGAAGTTCAGAAATTCAAAAATTAGATTAGATTTAAGGTAAAATACTTACAAAACTATAATTAATACAGAATAATTTCAGCGCTAATTGAACTAAATTCTACTTCTATCAGTTTAAGACATCAACTGGAGTAAACTAGCAAACAGTCTTGCAAATATTTAAGTATCTTATACAGGATACACCAATATATGAGTATGTGTCTGCCTGTCTTTTTGTCAGTGTCAAGCTGTTCAGATCAGGAGCAGCTCTTGTTTACCCGTGTCTCCTCCTTCAGTTTCAGTGGTGGAGGAGGCCGGTTGCCTGGTGCTGACATCTGGGATATCCTTCATGTCCAGAAGAGCACAAAGCCCAGGGAAGTCAATCTCCACATTGCCTGAGCACTGATATTCATCTGTGGGACAGTGGGTTTAAAGCATTGACCACACAGCTTTCATCTGTTACCAAAGACAGCCTGATAATGTTACTTACCGAAGGTCTGAGCTGGCAATTTTTCATTTGGAGTCTGTCCTAAAAAACAACAGATAGGCCAGAGTTTATACACACTGAGCGTTTCCCCTTTTTATCAACCAACTGGGCCGTTAAACTACAGAAGGGGGAGTTATTTACCATCACACTTGTTACAAAATAGTTAGTGAATGAGAGTGGTATTTCATCCCTGATATCTATTAAGATTCTTTAAATACTACAATCCAGTGTTTTCCTGTTTCCCTCCCATCTGCTCAGCACATGCTGGGTTATAGTAGGGTCCTGTCTGCTGCGATGGGAGGAAAGCTACTGAATGTGTGAGTGAAACTTAACTACCACTAAAAACAGTACTTATTTCAAGAGTTGGAAAGTAACAGTGAAAGTACTGAGCTTTAGTATAATTAGTATTTCTGTTTTATGCTACTTTATGATTCTGATCCACTACATTTCAAAGGGAAAAGTGTACTCTGTAAATGAGTACTTTTACTTTCGATGCTGTTTTGCATCATACATAAATTATGAATGCTGGACTTTTAACTTGACTTATACTGTTATACTGTTCATTTTATATATTATA